TGTTGACACTCAATTTTGGCCTAACATTTTCAAAATTCGTAACTTTTAAGTTTTATTTATTTAATAGTTTAAAATATATTTTTTATAATTTTAAATAAGTTTATCGATGACTATCCTTATTTATCAAAATTTAGGATTTCTCTTTTATCAGTTAATCTTAAAATTGCATTTTACATGTCATTAGTTACGTTCATTATATATATATTTTTTAATATTCATTTTTACTTGTTACATTTGTTAATATTCATTTTGATATTTTGCACAATCCAAAATTTATTATGATATAGGTAATATTTCATACACAGATATTTTATTGACCGATAATTTTAATCGACCATTTTAAAATAGTGATATTGTAGTTTTCAACTCCCTATATAAAGAATAATTTGTCTATTAGGTCAAGGGGGTGGATAAATTTTATAATGGGGGTTCAATTTTCAGAGCTATTTTACTTTATTTTTTTATATACTGTTCATTGCCTTTCCGGTGAACTTTCCGGCCAGTCACCACCAAACCCCACTGGCCATCCCTCTCTTCTCACTAACCACCTCTATTCTCCTCACTACTACGAGAGAATCACTGTCCAAAACCCCATTTTTCGAGCTCCACCAGTTCACTGCCGGAGAACCACCAAACCACAACACCCAGCCAACCAGAAGCACCATTTCTGGCAGAGCTCGAGGCTCAGGCGGAGCAAATAACAAGGAAATCGAACCATTCCCCTCCCCTTTCCCTTTTACGATATTTATTGTTGTTTTTTTTTGCAGATCTATGGTGAAGAAGCTCAAAGCTCCGAACAGGACTCGAACAAATCCCACACTCTCTGGCGGAATCAGTTGCATTAAAAGACCAGATTCAGTCCGAATACTCCAACTCCGGTAAATAAACTATTTCTCTTTCATTTCATTTTTCTTTCAGATCTGGCCGAAGAAGTTCAAACTCCGGCCAATATTTTTTCCAACAATATTTTATCTTCTCCGGTGGATATTAATGTTTTGGCTTTTTGCTTGAGTTGAAACTTCATTTGTTACCTTTGTTCTATTTTATTTTTGTTGGGTTTGATTCTTATTACTGATATTTTGTTCTCTTTGTTGGTTATTATTTATTTATTATGATTGTTGAAACTGATTTGAATTATTTTCATGTTATTATTTTTGTTCAAGTAAAATAGTGTATATTATCTCATTTCAGATTTCACCGGAAAGATTAAACTTCGGTCAAACTTCATTTATAACTAGCTAACCTCTTTTCCTGTTCATTGATCTACATTATTTTATTTATTTTTATTACTATTATTTTTGTTTATTTTATTGCTGACATTTGTTTGACCACTTAACGTTATAGTTGTTGGTGTATAATTTTCCTAGATTTGCTTACCCTTATTTGTTATTATTTAATATATATATATATTTTGATGATAAACATGTTTACAAAAATAAAAAAATCTCAAGCTACTGTTCAAATGTTTCTTTTTGTATTTGTTTGCCACTTTCCAATGTTCTATTTTGTTTTGCTTATTACCGTCTTTTGATTATTTTGTTATTGTTATAATGTTAAAATCAATTACTTAGCTATCATATCTAGTTGTTAATTTTATGTTACTTTTAGACTCTTTTCCAATAATCTTTTAATGATTGTTTCTATATATATGTGGTTTGTCTTTTGATAGTTTTTGTGGTTTACTTCGTTGATTACTTTGGATCGGAATATAATCTTGCTTATTATTATTTCATTTTACCATTGCGTTATCATTGGTTTATTTGTGGATTTAATTTTTTGTTTGTTAAAAATGGTCAATGAGAAAATCTCTCCGTCGATTTTGGAGGCCTTTACATTGTAAAAGACGGAAATTTAGTTTAAGTTTATATATTTTATTTGTTAAAAATGGCCGATGAAGAAATTACCGTCGATTTCTAAGGCCTCTCATGTTAATAAGACGGATGTTTATTTTTAAGTTGTTGTCTAATTCATTTACTTTTAGTCATATTTATTTAGTACTAACACTTTTACTAAGTGTCTTTACAGGTACTCCGAAGTCACTTCTCATCAAAGTCATTCGAATAAAGTTCGAATGTTATATTCATTATGATGTATATTGTTGACGATAGACAAATATTAAGTTGTTTCTCATATTACTTGTCTACTTTATTACTTGTGTATATTGCATGTTTATTATATTTGTACATTATTTTATTCTCCTCCTCAATTTGAAAAAAAATGAATTCAGTCGGGATCCACATTTGTGGATTTCAAAGGATGCTTAACCCCTTCCCTTCGAAATAACTTGAACCCCTTACCTAGAATCTCTTGGTTTCGTAGATTATTTAATTGGTTTCCTAGTTTTCTTAAAATTAGGTGGCGACTCCTTTAAAATTCGTTTAATCTTTAAAAAAATTCAAAATTTAATTAACTGATTATTTTTTGAGTCACCGCGACGTTTCTCCCTATTTGAATAGAGTAGGGATGTAAACATTAAGTATTATGCAGCAAATGCGATTAAATCATTTTTTTTATTACCATGGTGTCCAGGCCAGCTTGCGCGCACCTCGGCTAAGTTCACAAGATACTTGTCACCTCCCGCTAGCAACAAAGGACATATGGAAGAATCACCTAGTATTTTTTGTCTCCACTGGGAATTGAACCGAGACCTCATGGTTCTCAATCACTTCATTGACAACTAGGCCACACCCTTAGGTGCAAACGTGATTTAAATCATATGGCATGAGTAAACAGGTTATAGTTGCCAACTTCCTAGGTAAAGGTTAAAAGTTAAACCCAATTTTAAGTCAGATCCTATTCCTTTCACTGTGGTATGTCTACCATTTTGGTCGGTAGATTTTTGCTTGTCAAGATATGTTTTCTCGAATATAGGTTCATAGTTTAGCATTGTTGCAATGACAAAGCAATTACCATTGAACCTTTCCTTGGAAATTTTAGAGACGATAGTCCTTGAGCCTAGTTTCACCGGCATTTGTTTTTCAAAGATACCTTCCATGTTTATCAACTTCTAGTTTTATGTCACAAAACTTACAAGTCATTTTTTTTTAGGCAACAAAAACTTACAAGTATTTCCGACTACAATATAAAAGAAATGGAATTTGTGCACAAAATTTGTGATAAAAAAAATGAAGAGCTTTACCTAGTAAGACAGCAACTGTAGAACCTCCAGATTAGGAGAATACTTGAGCAATAATATCATAGCTAGAATAAAATCACCATCAACTCTCGCATACAGTTTAAGGTCTTCAACTTATAAAAGGAGACGAGGGAGAGCCTTTCTTTACTAGCTGCTTTAATTTATACATACCCTACACAAACAAAAATACTAGAAATGAGAATTTTTCTTATGACTAAGAAGTGAGAAACTTCTTGGATTTATTTTTTTACAGCTAAGTAGTGAGAAATTTATCAGTAATAAAGAGACTAATTGAAAAGCTACCAACAAGCCCTCCAAACAACTAAGAAAATACTTAAGTATATTTTTTTAACGATAAATACTTAGACTGTTAATATATTTTTATAAGGACTTAAGACTTTATGTTTAAAAATTGTACGTGTATATCTTTTTAAATATTTGTATTCCCCTTTTATGAAGAGAACTTTACCAAAATAGAATCATTGCATAGTGCCAAAACTGATGTAAAAGAAACTTAATTCCTTGATCATCTTATGCACAAATATCTGAGTGTCCGCACGTGTATTGGTAAACGCGATACTAACATCTATTGAAAACAGATTCTCGATGATTATATCATTTGGCATTGGAGCTTCATAATTTAAGAATTTGAGATTGGGGAGTTCGCATTTGCCATACTCATCCTCATAATAATAGTCCGCTATAATAGTAACAGAACTAAGAGATGTGGAAGCGATAAAAAGTAGTGTAATAGCTCCTAAACCACATTCATGTAAGATCAAACTTTTGAGTTGATGACATTTTGAGATGAAGCAATTTGGGGAATGTTTGTCCGATAACTCGACATCCTCAAGATGGAGCAATTTCAGCTGACGAAATCCAAAATGATTAGGCAGTTTAAGTATATCCCTGGGCAGGTTTAGCTTTAAAACTTGCAAAGATTCACAAGTTGCAAGACAAATTGGTAACTCTAATGGCTCACAAAGAGTAAATTCTAACACAACTTCTTGAACATTTCGCCTCGTTGCTGCATGAATCCACCGAAAAATCTCCATCTTATCAAAATAACCATGTGGAGTAACACAGAGTAGAAACTGTTAGTTATTGTTTTTTCTCTTTCATTTCATTTGTTAGCTAGTGTTTTAGTTGACAGAGTCTTTAGCAAATAAGTAGGTAGTTGAATAGAAGCAGGAGAATCCTTTTAATTTGTTAGTTGTTGAGTAATCGTAGGAGTTAGTGGATTGCTACGTTATTATTTCTGTGAGTAAAACTCTATTTAAAGAGTTCACTTGATGTACTTCAAAGATACGATCAATTTTTCGCCAATTGAATAGAGTCCACGTTTTTCTTCTTGATAAGATGCAGAGTATTCAACAATGGAGAAGATTATAGAGGAGATGTGTGACGATACATGGGAGAAGAGAAACCCAGAAACCTTCTCATTATCAATCAACACAACTAACTTGAGCAAAGCTCATACATCTGTATTTAAAGCTAAATACTACAGCTTAACTAACTCTGACAGAATTGTAACTAACTTGTTTAACAAACTAACTAATCAACTAATTAATCACAAACATCTTTAATTAAACTTAATTGGACAGCTGGCATATACGTATAACTTCACACCCCTCCTCAAGCTAATGGTTGGAAGAGATTCTTCAAACCAAGCTTGGACATTAAGTAGTCATGGGATAGTCTGCCCAGACTCTTAGTAAGCAAGTCAGCCAACTGCTCCTTTGTAGATACATGTTGTGTTTGAACTAAATTTTGTACTATCTTCTCCCTTACAAAATGACAATCGATGTCTATATGTTTAGTTCTCTCATGAAATATTGGATTAGCTGCAATTTGAATAGCAGCTTTACTATCACAAAACAGCTGCACTGGTCGACTGATGCTAACACCCAACTCTTTATACATGCCTTCTAGCCAAGTTATTTCAGCCACAGTAGAAGCCATGGATCTGAACTCAGCTTCTGCTGAGCTTCTGGATACTGTGTCTTGTTTCTTCGACTTCCAAGACACTAAAGCATTACCAAACATTACAATGTAGCCAGTGACAGACCTCCTTGACTCAATACATCCTCCCCAATCAGAGTCACAATATGCTGTTAACTTGTCTGTGTCTTCTGAAGGCATAAGTAAACCAAGTCCAGGCTCAGCTTTAATATATCTTACTACCCTCAAGGCAGCCTCCATATGTGATTGTTTTGGTTTGTGCATAAACTGACTTAGCACTTGCACTACATAGGTGATGTCAACTCTGGTCATTGTTAGATAGAGCAATCTTCCAACTAGTCTTTGATAGGGACCTGCATCATCCAAAATTCTATCAATATCTTCTGTTTGCGATCCTTTTATATGATCATCAAAGTCAACAGAAGTCAATTTGATATTGGCTTCCATAGGTGTGCTAGCTGGCTTAGCTCCACCTAATCCCATCTCAGCAATCAACTCTAGAGCATACTTTCTCTGGCTCATGTGAATGCCCTGCTGTGACCTGGCAAATTCAATACCTAGGAAGAACTTCAATTGCCCCAAATCTTTCATCTTGAATCTGAGCATCAGATCATTTCTAGTCTGTAGAATTATCTCTGAACTACTGCCAGTAACAAGTAAATCATCTACATATACTAACACCACAACAATCTGAGAATCTGCCCGTTTGGTAAACAAAGAGTAATCAAAATGACTTTGACAGAAACCAAGGTCTATCAGAGCTTCAGTGAGCTTCTTGTTCCACTGTCTAGGTGCCTGTTTTAGACCATATAGAGACTTGTTGAGTCTGCACACTTTACCAATCCCCCGCTGACTACCAAACCCCTGAGGAACATGCATATACACCTCTTCATAAAGATCACCTTGGAGGAAAGCATTATGAACATCCATCTGAAAAATAGGCCAGTGTTTTGCAGCAGCCACAGCAACCACAGACCTCACCGTGACCATTTTAGCCACAGGAGAGAAAGTTTCAGTATAATCAAGGCCCTCTTTTTGACTGAATCCCTTAGCAACAAGTCTTGCCTTGTACCTTTCAACTTCACCATTGGCTTTGTATTTGATCTTGAATACCCATTTACATCCAATAGGAGATTTACCAGGGGGTAGATCAACTAAAGTCCATGTGTGATTATCTTCCAAAGCTGCAATTTCTAGCTTCATAGCATCAATCCACAGAGGATTCTTTACTGCATCATAGTAACTAGATGGTTCTAAAGTAGCGGAATATGCAGCTAAAGCAGTGCTATAAGACTGGGACAAGCAGTCATAGGCAACATAATTTGAAATGGGAAACTGACAAGAGACAAGTCCCTTAGAAGGAGCTACATAGTCCTGCATCCATATAGGAGGTTTGGTGGTCCTGTGGGATTTCCTAGGAGCTACATCAAGAGGCAAGATAGGAGGCTCAGAGGGAACAGGGTCAAAAGGCATAGGAGACTCAGCACACGCAGTGGGAGAATCATGAACAAGGGTACTAGACACATGAAACTGCACATTATCAGGAGGAGAATAATCAGAGGAGAGTGAAGGCACAGGAAACAGAAGAGAACTCTTATGAACTGGATGATGAAAAGGAAAAACATCTTCCTTGAAAAGGACATCTCGACTGACTATGAAGTTTTCCTCATGAAGAGTACACATGATATAGCCCTTCTGAGTAAGAGAATAACCAAGAAGGACAGCAGGAAGAGCTCTAGGAGAGAATTTATCTGACTTTCGAAGACAAGTAACATATCCCAAACAGCCAAAGACTCGGAGATGACTAAGATCAGGAGGTTGTTTATGAAGGACTTCAAAAGGAACCTTCCCCTTAAGAGTGGAAGATGGTAACCTGTTGATTACATAAACAGCAGTTGTAACACAGTAACCCCAGAATTTAAGAGGGACATTGGATTGAAACCTTATAGCCCTAGCAGTGTCTAGGATATATCTGTGCCTCCTCTCAACCACCCCATTTTGTTGAGGTGTGTATACACAGGAACTCTGGTGGACAATACCAAGAGTGTTTAACAAATGTGAGACTTGAGAATTAAAAAACTCACACCCATTATCAGTTCTGAAGAATTTAACAGATGCAGAATACACATTCTTAATCATCAACATGAAATTTGTGAGAGCTACTATGACTTCAGCTTTGGAGGTGAGAAGAAATAACCAGGTATACCTGGAGTGATCATCAACCAGTGTAAGGAAGTACTTCTTACCATCATGAGTAGGGACTCTGTAGGGACCCCATACATCACCATGAATGAGTGTAAAGCAGGCATCAGATAAAGTAGAACTAAGAGGAAAAGGCAGTCTGGATTGCTTTGCCAAAGGGCATACAGTACAATGATCAGTATCAGAATCAGCAATACAAACATTATCAAAGTATTTCAGCTTCTTTAATGTGTGTATAGGCACATGCCCTAGTCTCTTATGCCATAAAGCTAGGCCGATACTATTTTTCTGCTTTCTAACTAGAAAAGAACAACAACTGGTCTTATGAAGACTTTTATTCTCAGCAGCTTGCTTCAAAAAATTGCAGGAAGAATTCATCACATATAGACCTTGATCATGTTGACCAATCCCTCTCACCTGTCCACTGTAGAGATCCTGAAAAATACAGAAATCAGGATAGAAGCTGACGGAGCACTTTAAGTCCCTTGTAAGCTTTGAAACTGACAGTAGATTGTGTTTAAAATCAGGTAAACACATCACATTATGAACTGTCTGATTATCCAAGACTGCAGTAGATCCTAAGTGACTAACTTTTGCAATACCTCCAGTAGGCAAGGACACATTACCTGATCTAGAATTAGAGCAGGATTTAGCATCAAATAGAATCCTAGGATTATTTACCATGTGATGAGTAGCCCCCGTATCCACTATCCAGTTAAAACCACCAGTAGGAGAGGTAGTAATTAGGAGAATTTGGGAACCCTCTAGATGCATTTATAGAACTACCTGCATAACCTCCAGGATCAGATGCAGGATTCCTATTCCATTGAGAGTTAGCATCTCCAGCAGCATAGTGAACAGTCCTTCCCCTTCCAGTTGTGGGTGAGTTGCTAGACTTCTTCTTGAAAGTGTGCTTGAAGTTAGCAGGGTAACCATGTAGTCTATAACAAGTACCACTGGTATGACCTGTATGATGACAGTAATCACAGTACAGACCTTGATTGCCTTTTGCAGTTTTAAGGTTGGAAGATGATCCATTAGGCATACCAACACCAAAGGTGGAATTATCACCAGAACTAGAGAAACTTCCTCCATGATATCCAGATCTGGAGGATGTATTACTAGAGCTTGATCCCTGTTTAAAATTGCCTCTATTACCAGAGCTGTAGAATGCAGTACCTTCACCCACCTCAGCAGATTGAACTGCTTTGCCCAAAGATCTCTGGCTTTCCTCTGAAACCACCATGGAATAGGCTTGGTTAATGGAGGGTGTAGGAGACATTAAGAGAATCTGACTACGACTCTGAGCATAGGAATCATTTAGGCCAGTCAAAAACTGCAGCAATCTCTGATACTCGAAGTGATGCATATATGTTCTGGACTCTGGACAATTGCACCCTGGGCATGGCATAATTGCATCAAATTCATCCCAACACTCACGTAATCTAGTGTAGTAGCTAGATACAGTGGAAGTTCCTTGAGACATTGAATGAATCTCCTTATGAAGGTAGTGAATTCTAGATCCATCAACCTTATCAAAGCATTCCTTTAGATCGATCCATACCTTTGAAGCATTAGAAGCATAAATGACACTACTCAGTAAATCCTTCCTGATAGAATTGATAATCCATGAGAGCACTATGGCATTGCACTTTTCCCACAGATCATGAAGAGAAGAAGGAAAAGCTTCTCTAGGATGCTTACCATCAACAAATCCCAATTTGCTCTTTCCCAGCAACCCTAGACGCATTGATCGACTCCAAATTGCATAATTCTCCTGTCCAGTAAGCTGAATAGAGACTAGAGAGCTTCCTGGTGTATCACTTGGATGAAGATACAATGGATGATGATGATCAATCTCTACAACCTGAGTAACTGTTGGTAACACAGTCTGATCCTCAATCGCCATGAATACACACCGAGAATTTGTAATCTAAAACTGAAAGAAATACAACGGAATAACAGCTAAGTTGAGAACCTAGGCTCTGATACCATGATAAGATGCAGAGTATTCAACAATGGAGGAAGAATTATAGAGGAGATGTGTGACGATACATGGGAGAAGAGAAACCCAGAAACCTTCTCATTATCAATCAACACAACTAACTTGAGCAAAGCTCATACATCTGTATTTAAAGCTAAATACTACAGCTTAACTAACTCTGACAGAATTGTAACTAACTTGTTTAACAAACTAACTAATCAACTAATTAATCACAAACATCTTTAATTAAACTTAATTGGACAGCTGGCATATACGTATAACTTCACACTTCTCATCATTGTTTTTTTCATCAGTGATATCAGAGTCAGGTTGGTGAGAGAAATACTAAAAGAAATTGCAACAGCAACGTTTGAAACTATGGCTTCAGAAAACTTTGTGCAAGCAGCCATTCCTCGCTTTGATGGTCACTATGATCATTGGAGCATGTTGATGGAGAATTTCCTAAGATTAAAGGAGTATTGGCAAGTGGTTGTGGATGGCATACCAGAACCAGCAAAAGGCACATCAGTGTCAGACGCACAAAAAGCAAAAGCACAAGCAGCAAAGTTGAAGGACCTCAAGGCGAAGAATTATCTTTTCCAAGCAATTGAAGGTTCAATCTTGGAAACTATTCTTTCTAAAGATACTTTTAACCAGATTTGGGACTCCATGAAGAAGAAATATCAAGGATTGACGAGGGCAAAGAGGCAGCAGCTTCAAGCACTTCGTTCGGAGTTCGAAACTCTTCGAATGAAATCTGGAGAGTCAGTTATCGACTATTTTTCACGGGTGATGACAGTCCTCAACAAAGTGCGGATCCACGGTGACAAGTCAAATGAAGTTACAATTGTTGAAAAGATTCTTCAGACCATGACACCAAAATTTAACTTTGTTGTTTGTTCTATTGAAGAATCTCATGATATTGATTTGCTTTCAATTGATGAATTGTAGAGCTCTTTGTTGATTCACGAGCAAAAAATTACTACAACAAGAAAAGGAGGAGGTGGCATTGAGTGCCTCAACAGATGATCGTTCCGGAGGACAAGGGTATAACAGAGGTATTGGTAGAGGCAGAGGTAGAGGCCGAGGCAATAGTGATTATCATGGAAATTGTCAACACCGTTAAAACCATGATAATCAAGGCAGAGGAAAGGGGCGAGGTGGCAACAACTCAAAGTTATGGGACAAGTCTAAAGTTGAATGTTACAGATGCCACAAATTCGGTCATTTTAAATCAGAATGCCGAACAGATTTGTCTAAGTTGCGTGGAGAGGAATCTAATTTTGCACAAACGAAGGAAGAAGAAGAGGTTTCACTTTTGATGGCATATCATTCCAAAGAGAAAGTTCCCACTAATTTATGGTATCTCGATACCGACTGCAGTAATCACATGTCTGGGCAAAAGGAGGAATTCTCATAATTGGATGAAACTTTTTGAGGTACTGTGAGATTTGGAGATAACTCAGTGGTCTCTGCCATGGAAAGGGAAGGTGCTGGTCTCAACAAAAAATAACTATATTCATACCATAGGTGATGTGTATTATGTTCCTGCTTTGAAGACAAATTTATTAAGTGTTGGGCAACTTCAAGAAGATGGATATGAAATTAATATCAAAGGTGGAGTGTGTAAGATACGAGATTCTCATTTGGGGTTGATCACTCAAATTAACATGTCAAATCACTTGTTCCCGTTACATCTTCACAACTCTAAAAAATCTTGTTTTTCTGCAAAAGTGAAAGATGATGCCTGGTTATGGCATTTCCGTTATGGGCACCTTAATTTTAATGGATTGAGAACGCTACATCAGAAGAAAATGGTGAACGGTCTTCCTCAAATTGCAGCTCCTTCAGGAACTTGTGAAAGTTGTGTTGTTAGCAAACAACCTCGCAATCCATTTCCACAAGGCAAATCTAGGAGAGCAAAGGCGTTGCTGGAATTGGTGCACTCAGATCTCTGTGGACCAATAAATCCAAATTCCAATGGTGGTAAAAAGGTACTTCATAACCTTCATTGATGACTTCAGTTTGAAACATGGGTGTATTTTTTACAAGAAAAGTCTGAAGCGTTTGACAGTTTTAAACGTTTTAAAGTACTTGTTGAGAAAGAAACTGGAAGTCCATTGAAAGTTCTTCGTACTGATCGTGGAAGAGAGTTCAATTCTCAAGAATTTACAAATTTTTGTGAGGAAAATGGAATCAAGAGGCAATTTACAACAGCTTACACACCTCAGCAAAATGGTGTTTGTGAGCGGAAGAATCTCACAATCCTCAATATGGTGTGCAACATTTTGACAAGGAGCGGTGTCTCAAAAAGCTTTTGGCCAGAAGTAGTTGACTAAAGCATTCATATTTTAAATAGAAGTCCAACTTTCTCTGTTCAAATTATGACTCCGAAGGAGGCATGGAGCCGGCAGAAACCAAGTGTCGACTATTTTAAATACTTCGGATGTGTGGCCTATGCTCATGTTCCAGATCAGAAAAGGATCAAACTAGATGATAAATAGGAGAAAAATGCATTTTTCTTGGTGTTAGTAATCAATCTAAGGCTTATAAGTTATATAATCCAAACACCAAGAAAATTGTCATTAGTCGTGATGTAATTTTTTATGAAAATACTACTTGGTCATAGAAGGACAAAGGAGATCAGCAGCTTGTTCCAGTGGCTTTTGAAGAGGAAACGCTACAACTGGAGGAGACAGAACAACTGGAAAATTCAGATCCAGTTCAATCACCGATTTCAATTCCTACACAAGAAACGGAGAGACCTCAACGATAAAAAAGGAGACCCGCATGGATGGCAGATTTTAAGGTAACTGGAATTGATCAATCGGAAGATCCAGTCATTCATTTTGCCTTATTTTCAGAAAGTGATCCTACCAGTTTTGAAGAAGCTGTTAAAGATGAAAAATGGCAAAAGGCAATGGATGAAGAAATGGCAGCAATTGATAGAAATGACACTTGGGAGTTGATAGAGCTTCCAAAAGGGCATAAGACAATCGGTGTCAAGTGGATATACAAGAAAAAGATGAATAAGGAAGGTAAAGTCGAGCGGCACAAAGCACGCTTAGTAGCTAAAGGCTATAAGCAAGAGTTCGGTGTGGACTACAAAGAAGTTTTTGCTCCAGTGGCACGACTAGACACTATCAGATTAGTGATAGCTTTGGCTGCTCAACACTTATGGCCCATTTTTCAAATGGACGTCAAATCGGCCTTCTTACATGGGGACTTGGATGAACATGTATTTGTTGATCAACCTCCAGGTTATGTCAAGGTTGGAGAAGAACATAAGGTGTGTTAATTAAAGAAGGCATTGTATGGACTAAAACAAGATCCACGAGCTTGGTATAGTCGAATAAATGCTTATTTTTCGAAGGAGGGATTTAAGAAATGTCCATATGAGCACACACTCTTTACAAAGAATGATGATAAAGGAAAAATGCTCATTGTTTGTTTATATGTGGATGATTTAATTTACACCGGAAATGACATCTCCATGGTTGAAAGTTTTAAGAAGTCCATGATGGTGGAATTTGATATGACGGATATTGGAATGATGCATTATTTTCTTGGCATTGAAGTCGTTCAATCTGCTGATGGGATTTTCATCACACAAAGGAAGTATGCTCAAGAGATTTTGGACAGGCTTCAGATGAAGAGTTGCAACTCTGCCAACAGTCCCACTGAGTTCGGTTCGAAGCTCACTAAAGAACCTGGAGGAAGAATAGTTGACAACACTCTTTACAAACAAATAGTGGGAAGTTTGATGTATTTAACGGCCACAAGGCCTGATATTATGCATGTTGTAAGTCTTATTAGCAGATACATGGAAAGTCCCAAAGAGATGCATCTTCTAGCCGCAAAGAGAATTTTTTGATACTTGCAAGGAACTACTAATTATGGTCTGTTCTACGCGAAAGGAGAAAAGCAGACTTAGTTGGCTTTACTGACAGTGATTTTGCGGGAGATTCAGATGATCGAAAGAGTACGTCTGGTTATGTCTTTATGATGGGGTCGGGAGCAATTTCATGGTCTTCGAGAAAGCAATCAATTGTGACTCTATCAATTCCAGAAGCTGAATTTGTGGCAGCAGCAACATGTGCCTGTCAAGCAATTTGGATGCGTAAAGTTCTTGAAGAAATTCATTTCAAGCAAAATGGCTCTACTACCATTTATTGTGACAGCAGTTCAGCAATAAAGCTCTCCAAGTTGTTCAGCATGGTGAAGTAAACATATTGATGTCAAATTTCATTCTTAAGGGACCTCACAAAAGATGGAGTAATTGATCTCATCTTCTGCAGAAGTGAAGATCAGCTGGCTGATGTGTTTACCAAATCTCTCAAGTTAGCATCCTTCTTGAAGTTTAGAAAATTACTTGGTGTTTGCACTTTGGAAAATCACATTTAAAACAAGTTGTCTGCTGCAAGCATGTTATACTGATAGTGTGACTTTCAGTTTAAGGGAGGGATTGTTAGTTATTGTTTTTTCTCTTTCATTTGTTAGCTAGTGTTTTAGTTGACCGAGTCTTTAGCAAATAAGTAGGTTGTTGAATAGAAGCAGGAGAATCCTTTTAATTTGTTAGTAGTTGAGTAATCATAGGAGTTAGTGGATTGCTACGTTATTTTTTCTGTGAGTAAAACTCTATTTAAAGAGTTCCCTTGATGTACTTCAAAGATACGATCAATTTTTCGCCAATTGAATAGAGTCCACGTTTTTCTTCTCATCACTGTTTTTTCCATCAGAAACTTGGCAAGCTTAGTCTCCCTTTGGGAAATTAGGACCCAAAGGGAGTCTTTGAATTTTTCCTTCGGTATCATATGAAAATCCCACCTTCCACCATAGAGCCGTTGTAGACAAGAATTATCAATATCAAAGTGCAAATAAGGCATTGTAGTCCATATATATCTCCATCTTTTGGACAATACACTCAACTGAACTACTTCATCAAATATAGAGAGAGAGGAAAGTAAGTTGTGGATTACCTCATCTGGCAATGTGCTTATTCTATCAATCCCTTCACTTGTATTGCTGGAAATCATGGATTTTTTCGCTGATGTTTCCATTATATATTCCAATTTGAACGATTGAAAAACAGAAAAACCCAAAAAATTACCTTGCGTTGGAGATCAAAGAGGTAGAATGGATACTCAGATAGCGAAACTCAACAGTGGATTTCTTCCTGAGATTGAGAAATGACAAGTAGACCAGCTCATGCCTGTCTCCATGAGCCCTAGAGACAAACACAATTTTTTTGGGGGAAAAAACATGTATTTAACGGGTGTGTTTGGTAGGAAGTACAATGTTATTTGGGTCGAGTTTTGGGTGAAATTTCACCACATGGATTCTGAAAGAAATAATTAATTTTCAGACTAAGGATGGTATGTTGAAGAAGTATGAAACAAAAAACTCTTGCCAGATACTCTATAGCAGTCCAAACATGAAACATGATACAATTATAGCGGTTCCATAAAAACCACGGATCAATGTAATTTATTATACAGTTTGGTTCGGGCTTGTATCTTCAAGAGAAATCCCAATAAGAGTACATCCAACAATTGAATAACCATCTCCCAGGTCGAGACATTTTGAATTATCTATCATACCATTTACGAGACCTTGGTTTGGGCTTGGCATCGAGAAATGTCAGAACAACCTGTGAAGAAGTTCTAGGAAACTTTAAAACCTCCTCTAATGCCTCTTCTAATTTATCAGGATACTCCACCCAGAAAATAGTCAGTTTTTCCAACACTGGTGCATTCTTCAGAAAAAACTTTAGTAGTTTTATCTCGTTTTCTTCACCATTGAAATTAGTCAAATGAATTGACTTTAGATGAGATTCCAAGCACCCCACGCTTTCATCAAGATCATGCATCCGGTTCCCTCCATTATACTAGCAGACAGATGAGAGTTAGAATAGAAACCATTTCAGTGAATACTTATATTGAAACAACAATAAGCAATAACCCAACAGCATAAGCACCCATTTCCTACATTACAAGTGAGAATGTCAAACAAGATCCACTATAAAAATGTTTGGACTACTTCTCATTGGAACTTCTCTTTTTCCCCTAGGCATCACAGGTGCATTAAAACTCCCAGTGATCTGTTCATATTTCGGAGCACGGTACCTACTACTCAAACCATGCCATCCATCTAACAAACATCTTGCTCATCTCAGGTCATCTAAGCAAGCAATCTCCTCATTAAGCCAAGTGAATTTATAATAATGCTTGCTTAGACCACATATCTTGCGCATGAGAACATTTGAACACACAACTCCAAAGTTCTAGCATCCATATGAGTTGATTTCAGAATCTGTCGGTGCCATTTATACATCTTTATATTTTACAATGAAAATAAATTAATTTGGTAAAGCTCTCTAACCTCAGCTTATAGCCAAATTTAGATACTATGATTGCTGGAATTTTTTTTTTAATAAAGATATTGCTCAAGGTCACATTTACAATTCTCCTTCATTTATCAACTTAATGCTCCTTTTAAGTTGTGTGATCATCCTCTCAGTGCTTCTTAGACTTAGGGGTGGGCATACAACTAAAAAGCCACACCGAACTGAATGAATTCGGTTCTTCAATCGGTTTCGTTTTTTATTTTTTAAAAAAATTGGTTTGTATTTAAGATATATTTCGATAAACAAAAAATACAAAACTATTTGGTAGACTACTACGGTAGACCAAGTTTCAGGTCTAACTCATTATTTAGCTGGACTTCAAGACTTTTTTCCTCTCATTTCTATTTTCTTTTGCAATTACTTTGAGCATTTTGAGATGTGGAAGATTGTTATAGTAGCTCCAAAGAACTCATGCCCAACTTGTGCTCCTTTTGTTGAAATATTAAGGATAACTGCTTGTTTTTTTCCTCTCACCTTTTAGCATTTGTGTGCCTCATGTCAAGATATAGATGTTAGCAATGTAAAGAACTCATAAGTTCTTCTCTCTTTTTTTAATAATTGTGTTGTGCGACGCAGCTTGCGTGCACCTCAACTAATTTCATGACCTACCACCTCCCACCAACAACAAGCTCTGTCCACCAAGACTGGGACAGATAGGATAAAGAACTCATAAGATCTTGACGAAGTATAAAAATTCACAATGTCAATTTATTTTACTACGTGAAAAAAGAAATCTTCCTGCGTAGAGTTTGTCCTACGGTGCGAAAACAGACTTGAATCATGGTCCCAACGGAAGGCATAAAATGCTCACTTTATTTCAGCACTATAAAAGATCAAAATGAACCTTTATGACTGCATTAGACACAAAACAGCATCATAAGCAATTAAGAAAGTCAATTGAAAGAAATAACCATGAGATTTTCCTATATAAGCATTGGAATCAAATCCTGACTCAATTTATTTTGATGTGTTATTTAGTTTTTAATTAATAATCACACCCAAATCGATTTTTGCCATTTTAAGCAGAAAATAATCCAGTATAATAAGCTCATACCAAAAAAACAAAATTAAACCGAACCAAACAAGAAAAAACCAAACCGAGCTAACAACGGTTCGATATTTGGTATAGACAATCAAAAACCTGAAAACCTGAATATCGAAGTTCATAAAACCGAACCAAAATACCGAAAGCTCACCCACATCGATTCACAGTTCAGAGACATTTCTACCATTAAGTTTTATGCAGAAAACGTGATTAAATCATATGGCATGAGTAAACAGGTGATAGTTGCAAACTTCCAAGGTAAATGTTAAAAGTTAAAACCGATGATAACAGATCCTATTCCTTTCACTGTGGTGTGTCAATCATTTTGGTCAGTGGATTTTTGCTTAGCAGGATCTGCTTTTCTCGAATATAGGTTCGCAGTTCAGCACTGTTGCAATGACATTGCAATTACCATTGAACCTTTCATTAGTAAGTCTAGTGACGGAAGTTCTTGAGCCTAATTTCACCGGCTTCTCTTCTTGAAAGATTCCTTCCATGTTAATCAACTTCTAGGTTTATTTTACAAAACTTACAAGTCATTCTGACTACCATATAAAAGGAATGGAGTTTGTATACAAAATTCATGATAAAAATGAAGAGCTTTACCTGAAGACACCACAACTGTAGAACCTCCAGATTAGGAGAATACTTGAGCAATAATATCATAGCTTGCATAAAATCACCATCAACTCTCGCATACAGTTTTAAGGTCTTCAACTTATAAAAGGAGACAAGGGAGAGGCTTCCTTTGCTAGTTGCTTTATACATACCCTACACAAACAAAAAGACTAGAAATGAGAATTTTTCTTATAACTAAGAAGTGAGAAACTTATTAGATTTTTTTTTTACAACTAAGTAGTGAGAAATTTATTAGTAATAAAGTGACTAATTGAAAAGCTACCAACAAGCCCTCCAAACAACTTAGAAAATACTTAATGTATTTTTTTAAAGATAAATACTTAGACTGTTGATAAATTTTTATAAGGACTTAAGACTTTATGTTTAAAAAATGTACTCAGTATTCAAAAAATGTACGTAGACTGTTTATATCTTTTTAAATATTTGTATTCCCCTTTTATGAAGAGAGCTTTACCAAAATAGAATAATTGCATAGTGTCAAAGCTGATGTAGAAGAAACCTCCTTGATCATCTTATGCACAAATATCTCAGTGTCTTGTATAATGGTGACGACAATACTAACATCTTCTATTGATAGCAGATTCTCAATTATTATATCCTTTGGAATTGGGGCTTCATAATTTAAGAACTTGAGATTGGGGCAAGAAATTTTGAGTTTGCATTTGCCATACTCATCCAATTGATAATAGTCCGCTATAATAGTAACAGAACTAAGAGATATGGAATCAATAGACAGTAGTGTCATAGCTCCTAAACCACATTCATGTAAGATCAAACTTTTGAGTTGATGACATTTTGAGATGAAGCAATTTGGGGAATGTTTGTCCGATAACTGAACGTCCTCAAGATGGAGCAATTTCAGCTGACGAAATCCAAAATGATTAGGCAGTTTAAGTATATTGTCGGGCAGGTTTAGCTTTAAAACTTGCAAAGATTCACAAGTTGCAAGACAAATTGGTAACTCTAATGGCTCACAAAGAGTAAATTCTAACACAATTTCTTGAACATTTCGCCTCGTTGCTGCATGAATCCACCGCAAAACCTCCATCTTATCAAAGTAATCATCTGGAGCAACACAGAGTAGAAACTTGGCAAGCTTAGTCTCCCTTTGGGAAATTAGGACCCAATTGATAAAGTCTTTGAAATTTTCCTTAGGCGGCGTATAAAAAATCCTCCTTCCACTATTGGGCTGTTGTAGCCAAAATTGATCAATATCAAAGTGCAAGTAAGGCATTGTAGTCCATATATATCTCCATTTTTTGGACAATACACTCAACTGAACTACTTCATCAAATATAGAGAGAGAGAGGAAAGTATGTTGTGGATTACCTCATCTGGTAATGAGCTTATTCTATCAATCCCTTCACTTGTATTGCCGGAAATCATGGATTTTTTCGCTGCTGTTTCCATTATATATTCCAATTTGAACGATTGAAAACAGAAAAACCCAAAAATATTACCTTGCGCCGGAAATTTAAGAGGTAGAATGGCTACTCAAATAGCACAATTTCTTCACAACCATCCTGGCGTAGACCAGCTGGTCCATAAGCCCTAGAGACCAAACACAATTTTTGGGGGAAAAGAACATGATGTATCTAACGGGAAGTAAATGTTTTTCTCCAAATAAGTGATTTCTTTTAGCTTCTCAAAAAAACATAATCCCTTAGTTTAAAAAAAAAATGACCAGTTTGACTTGACACTGAACTTAAGAAAAGAAAAAATAAATAAAAATTTAATTTTATATTTTTAAATTAAAGTTATGTCAAATGTACTAAAACATTCTTTAATTTTGTGGTCTTACACATGCCATGTGAAAAATTGAATAAATGTGTTGCCAAAAAAGAAAATAGGTCATTCTTTTTTAAACAGATTAAAAAAGAAACTAGGTCATTCTTTTTTAAACGGAGTAGTATTTTGTTATTCTCATAAATACTTATTTTCTTTCAAAAATACTTTAATGTATTAGATTGTAGATTTTACAGTGAAATTTTTTAATGATTCTTTAGTGGATTAACAATTTATTCAATAAGAAAATTGAATAAATTCAAATCATGCACCATTATCCCATTTATTACAAATTTCAATCTATTCACTAATCATTAGTTCTGCAATTGAATCATCATATATCATTAGATTTTAAACAACTCTAATAATATGATTCAAAGTATAAGTGGGTTATATATAAACAAGGGAAGTTGTTGTGACCGTAGAAAAATTAGGGGTGGCAAAATCAAACTCAATCCATTCAAATATGCCCAACGTATTTAAGTTTGGTGGGTTGTCATTTCAATCCATTAAAAATTGAGTTGATATGTAACCCGAATAATCAAATTGGCTCATGAGAAATTTTGTCAAAATATTTTTTCTTTTCATTTGATATGTTATATATATAGTAGTAATAAAGGGAAAAAAATGATTTTATTAGGTACTAAAATATTTAAAAGAACAAATAAAATACTAATAAGCTTGGTAAAAAATGAATTGGGTTGGATCTTGACCATTATATTACTCATTATCTAACCCGTTTTGAGCCAAACAAATTTGGGTCGAATGGATTTTGACGGAATTCCCTTATTATTATTTTAGTCCATTATAATCCGCCCAATTGCCACAGGAAAAAACAGAGACGTACAATCTCTTACTTGAAATTGCCCATCAGGTCTGTGATTATCTGCTAATTACCTTATTCTTTGTTACCCCTTGCCATGTGAAATGTACGAATTTGCAGCTTAAGTTTTCTTTGAAGAAGTAAATTATCCGCCAATGTCAACTGAATTGAAAAAAAGAAGAAGTGGGATACTATCACCACACAACTAGGAGAAACAACGCAAAAACACATCAAATAAACCTAAAGGAATCGATTGAGGATGCTTCAGAGTTCTGATTAAGGATGAAATGTTGAACATGTATGAAGAAAAACACAAAAACTCTTCCCAGGTTGAGCTCATGAAAATTGGATCTCGACAAATGATCCACTTATCCATGTGTCAAAAAGTTAACAGAGTCTCACACACCTTTTGTTGGTTGTGCGTCTCCCATAATAAATTTTTTTGATACTTTCCCGTAGAAATAAGACTTGACCTTCCTAGCTACTCTATATCAGTTTCATAAAAACCAAGGAACAATGTAATTTATTATACTGTTTGGTTCTGATTCATTTTTCTCAAATTTTAAGGTGTATTATATAATATTATAATTATTTTTTTGGTGATTACCCGATATTTGTGTCACAGAGGTGTATCCAGGTAGGTATTTGAGCAAGATTATTCGATATCTATATTAACAAAATGAGCAAGCATTTACTGAAATAGTCAATGTGTGTCGAGTTTAACGGTTTAAAATTATAATCAATTATGACATATATAAGGTTATAAGTTTTAAAAATCTCAAATATTAAGTATTATGATAGATTTAAAATTATAAATTCTTAAAACAGAAAAGAGTCATATATGTCTTGTACTCTTAAAAAAGGGTCATATTTGCCCTTCGTCATACTTTTTTGATATATTTGCCCTTATCATCCAACTTTGGGTACATATTTGTCCTTGTATAGTTAAGTATTGTGTCCCCATTTTTATTAGTCTATGTGGCACCTACATGGCGCCTACGTGACTCCATGTGTATATAATTTTATTATAATTAAAATTTTACTTTCTATTTTGTATTCAATCCAACCCATTTAGTAAAATTTGACCCAACAAAAATAAAGACCCATTGACCCGATTCCAATACCCGGAATGGATTCGTGTGACAAAAATATATGTTGGTTGGGTGTTTTTTGTCAGAAAAAATGGTTACTGGACTTCTTCTTGCATAAACGAATTTATCTGGAATTATATGCGTACACTTAGTTTTCAAACCAATTTATTTTATGGACCAATTCCGGAATTCAATTGAATGGGTGCTTTAAGAGGTCTTTATTTGTCTCCAAAGTACCCAAACTACCTCTCACTTAGTTGGACCTTTTAAACAAGTCAAACTTGAGTTTTATTTTCATAGATTCCGTCGGAACGAAGTTCGCGACGCGGACCAAACATTTGACCCTTGGTGGAGCTAGTCTGCGACGGGGCCTGGCACTTGCCCCGACGGCCGGGTGTAGGTCGCGCGCTTAAGCGCCATCCATTTTCGGTGCTAGTTGATTCGGCAGGTGAGTTGTGTTGGAAAATCAATTTTGTGGTGAAATTCCTTCAAATTACTTCGAGAAAATGTTGTCGTTGAAGAAGTTATGGCTCTCGGACAACAAATTTTCGGGTGAAATTTTGTCGTCATTAATGAAGCTGCAATATCTCATTGAATTGCATCTGGAGAACAATCAGTTCTCAGGTCCAATACCGCCAGTCGGTAGTCTCAAACCAGTCGACATTAGAATCACTCGATCTTTCTACTAATAACTTGAAAGGGGAAATCCCTGTTTCGTTATCAAGATTCAATGAGGGTTCGTTTAAGGGGAATTCCAAGCTTTGTGGTGAGAAATTAGGCAAAGCTTGTAATCAAGCCATAAATAGCAGCAACGACACCAACACCAGCAGCAACGACAAACAACGCAAATAATAGCACTCAACAATGTCCGGATAGTAATTCGAATAAAAGCATCTCAATGTGGATTATGATATAATCAATTGTACTGTTATTGATCATGATTATAGTAATATACATCATATGTCGCTACCAACAAACTTGTCGTGCTTCAATTGAAAGTTTTGAGGAGCCATCACTTGGGAGGCGAATTTTGAGTGATAGCAAGAAGTCATTTGAACTAAGTCGGTGTGGCTGAATGATGATAAAGGTGAGTTTGGTTTAGCAGATTTGATGAAAGTAATGGATCTTTATTTTGGTTGGGTCGGATTTTACTAAATGGGTCGAATAAAATACAAAAAATGAAAGTAAAAATCTAATTATAATAAAAGCATATACGCATGGAGCCACGTAGGCGCTATGTAGGTGCCACATAGACTAATAAAAATGGTGACATAATACTTAACTGTACAAGGGCAAATATGTGCCCAAAGTTGGATGGTAAGGGCAAATATATCAAAAAAATATGACGATGGATAAATATGACCCTTTTCTAAGAGTATAAGGGCAAATATGACCCTTTTCCGTTCTTAAAATTTCTATTTGTTAAAATATGTACTTAGTTAAATAAATCAAATAAATTGAAATGAAAAAGTATTTAATTCTATCTTACGAGAATAATAACAATATAACATGACCGCATTAAGTGAAACGAGTAATAAGTTTAAATAAGAAAGTTAGAAAGATGATCTATGTAAAGTAACAATTTATAATTTTTGACACTTTGGTGGATAATATTTTTTGAATAGGAAATTAGCATTTTCTTATTTAAAGGCAAACTAATATTTAAAAACATTTTCTAAAGAAATTTGCTTTTACAGAGTAAGAGTCTGTTTGGATTGACTTAAAAATGGATCAAATCTAATTTTATGTCATTTTTAACTGTTGGAAGTATTCAACAAAATTAAAAATAACTTTAAAAAGGTGAAAAATCAAAAGTAGTTTCCCTTTACTTTTTTTTAAAAATTTTAAAGTCATTTAAATTTGACTTTTTTATTTTTAACTTAAAAACTATTTTAAAGTCGATTCGGCTCTAACAAGGATTTAATGGACCCTGATTTCATGCAATTCTGATGCATCCAGTGCCCATATATAGTTCTTTCTAAAATGTTGACCACCAGCGATATACACAAATATAAGTAATGCCTCAATAGTATTATTTCAATTTCAGAGAGTACTAATTTCTATTACTGAAAATAGTGATTTTTCAGTGAATATTTAACCAATTGACTGAACAATTTATAATTGAAGAATAACATACATTTATGTCCTCAAAAAGTCGGTGTAACTACAGCAAAAAAAACAAAAAACACAATAATTCTAAGAATATAATTCAATTGCCCTTGTAAAGTTGTAACTAATCAAGATTTGACCTCAAAGTGTTTATCTCAACTTCAGTACTCGGGGGCGTTTGGCAGGATCCATTATTAGAAAAAAATCTTCCCTTTGTAATTGAGAGGCGGAGCCAGCATATAGAGTTTGGGGGTTCTAAATTTCCTTTAGAATTGTCGATCAATTTTGTTAGGGGTTCACAAATTAATATACATAAATATTTAATTAATTTTTTAGTACAAATACATGGTCTGCGAAAAAGTTACTGGGTTCGTCCGAACCCACGAACCCCCACCTAGCTCCACCTCTGCTTTGTACACACCGCCCGTCACTCCTACCGATTGATGATCCGGTGAAATGTTTGAATCGTGGCGACATGGGCAGTTTACTGTCCGACATCGCGAGAAGTCTATTGAATCTTATCATTTAGAGGAAGGAGAAGTCATAACAATGTTTCCGTAGGTGAATTTGCGGAAGGATCATTGACGAAACTTGCAAAGCAAAAAGACTCGCGCACACGTTTCAACACTTGGGGGTGACGCGCAACTGGAGGTGCTTAGCCCCCCTATCCTGTCCCAGCGTGGAAAGCGCCAAGGAATACTAAAATTGACAGGGTGGAAACTGGCCGGCCTCATGTGTGCCATATACATTAACTTAATGCTTTACTTATATGTTGTTCGGTACATTCTTTTTCAACTTATGTAAAAACAC